ATCCATCCATCCATCCATCCATCCATCCATCCATCCATCCATCCATCCATCCATCCATCCATCCATCTATCTATCTATAACAAATGCCTCTTTTGACTATGTCTCTTTCTCTCTCTCTGTCAATCATCTATCCTGTCTATCTGTCTGTCTATCATCTACCTACCTACCTACCTACCTACCTATTTATCTATCTAACCATTTCTCTCTCTCTCTCTTCCTTTATAGCAACCACAGTGCAGACACCTTAGACAGGCTGCTGCCCACCATTGTCGGAACCAAATCCCCCCGGAAGCGAACCACCAGCCAGTCCAAATCGGAGCCTCCCCTTCTACGTACCAGTAAAAGGACCATCTACACCGCAGGCCGCCCCCCTTGGTACAACGAACATGGCACACAGTCAAAAGAGGCATTTGTTATCGGTAAGGGCCGCCGCATAGGGTTGGAAAGAGGGCATTTTGGCACAGGAGGCGGCAGGGTGGATCTGATTTAAATCAGCGGTCACCCACTGGGGGTCCGTGGACCATTAGTGGTCTGCAAGAAAATTCTGGCGGTTGGAAGAAAAATGATTTGCATTTTTTATATTGCATTAAATCAGGGGTCCTCAAACTACGCCCCCTGGGATGGATATATGCAATGAAAGCTTATGTTGCTGCAGAGAGTCTCCCCCTTCGGGGTCTTTTTTTGTGGATCAGAGGCAGGGAGAATTTCTGACTGGGGTCTACTTCAGCCTCCTGGTGGGGGGCTTTGGGTGAAGGCTGGAGGGAAGAGCCGCTGGTGGTGAAGAGCCGGAGGGCCTCGTTCCAGTTGGACTGCATCATGGCCTGGAACTGGCTGACCATCTCAGCCCGCTGAGCCTCCAAGCGCCGGTGCCTGGCCAAGATGGTCTTCTCTCTGCTTGGAAAGCCCATGCTCCTAGTCCTCAGTGAGGTGCTTCTGCTGAGCCGCCTTCTCCGTCAGATCCAATTTGAACTGAGCCAGCGGTTTCGCCAACTCTTTCTCCTGGTGGGGCCTTAAGGAGCCCATGCGGGCAGGCGAGGAGTGGCGAGTAGAAGCTAGCGAGGCGCCCCTCGATGTGAATGACATAATTGGCCACGCCCACCCAGTCACATGACCGCCTAGCCACATTCCACCCATCCGGTCATTGGACAGATCATATTAGTGCTCTGCGGGATTTAAAGTTATGAATTTAGTAGTCCTTGAGGTCCGAAAGGTTGGGGACCCCTGATTTAAATCAACTCGATTTAAATCATGGTTTTTAAAGAGCAGCTGTCATCTCTGTCCCGCAACGGCTCCTCTGATCCACTCTTGACTCTCCGACAGTCCCAATATTGCAGAATATACAGCCTCGCGCTACATGACTTAAGCTCCATTTCGTGCTGAATGAATTAAATTAGGAAGGTATCTTATATAGAAAAGTACCTTGAGATAGATTTTTATCCCAATAGCATTTTATTAAAATAAATTTGATAAAAATTATAAAAAAGTCTGATTTAAATTTTTAAAAAATCTTAAATAAATGAAAGAAATCCATTTAAAAAAAAAAAACATTGATTTTTATCTACCCTGGAGGGAAGTTAGGCCCTGATCTCTATGAATAAAGCAGAGATGGGCAGCTATGAACAAGTTTGCAACCTGTGGACTTCAACTCCCAGAATTCCTGAGCCAGCATGGTTGGCTCAGGAATTCTGGGAATTGAAGTCCACAGGTCATAAAGTCACCATCTTTGAAGCCGTGGCAGCCAAGAGATTCAGCCGGTTCGGACCGGTTCGGCCGAACTGGATGCTAATTTTACACTGGTATTTGCAACCAGTAGTTACAAGAACTGGCTGGCCCTGCCCATCCACCTCCACCCCTCCCAGCAGTCTCCACGCAGCCCGTTTTGGATGCCAGGTAAGGGCAGGGCCCACTTGGAGGATCTGGGAGGACCAAAAATGGGGCTTCCGGAAGTTCCGGAAGTCTAGAAACGGACCTGTTTCCAGCCTCTGGAGCTTGGGGGAGGCTGTTTTCACCCTCCCAGAGGCTCAATAAAAACCTCTGGATCCTGGGGAGGGCGAAAAACAGATCTCCCGGAAGTTCTGGAAGTCTGGAAACAGGCCCGAAAATTCTCCCCACGCCCCAGCAAATCCGTGGTGCAGCACGGCCACCATGGCCATGCCAGTGGTGGGATACGACTGGTGCCTGCTGGGAGCACCAGGTACCACTCCGGTACGGTGCTCCAGAGAGCCCGCCGGCTCTCCTTAACGGTATTTTGAGCCAATTGGGGCTTTCGCGCATGTGCATGGAGCCTACGGCGCCTGTGTGATGCTCTGCCAAGCAGCTGGAGCGTCGCGGGCAATAATACGTATGCACGCGTGCTGTGCGTGTGCTGCATGTGTCCACATGGTGGGCCCCGGGCCCCGTTGCAGCGTACCGATTGCAACGGGATCCGGAACCCACCACTGGGCCACACCCACCCAACACCTGGGCAGAGAACCGGTTGCTAAAATGTTTTCTTTTTAATTTTTTTAATTTTTTAAACAGACATTAACAAACAAGACATAAAACATAAAACCATCTTTCATTACATACAGTGTGTCGATTGGTTACAAGGTTTTTGTGCACCCTTTCCATAGTCGTCACTTGCAATTTATATAAAACCATATGTTATCAAATCCAATATGTGTATATACATTATTATCATTATACGTTATTTGTTTGACTATCACTAAATATTCCTTCATTTTCAACGAGCTATACTTAATATTGGGATCATTTATATTAGAACACTTCATTATTTCATCTTCAATCTATCCAATAATAATATGCCTTTATATTATATTCAATATCATTCTATTATTTTTGTATTGATAACATACTCTTGTACCTTTAACTTCCATGTCTTTTTTATCCAGCCATTGATAAAATAAATCCCATGTCTTATAGAGCCGAGGTGGCGCAGTGGTTAAATGCAGCACTGCAGGCCACTCCAGCTAACTGCAGTTCTGCAGTTCGGCTGTTCAAATCTCACTGGCTCAGGGTTGACTCAGCCTTCCATCCTTCCGAGGTGGGTGAAATGAGGACCNGATAAGGAAAGGAGTGAGAGTTAGGAAAGGAGGAAGAAAGGAAGGAGAGTGAAGAAAGAAGGAGAAAGGGAAGGAAGGAAAGAAGGTGAGGAAAGGAGGAAAGAAGGAATGGCAGCTAGGAAAGGAGGAAGAAAGGAAGGAGAGTGAAGAAAGGAGGGAGGGAGGGGAGTTAGGGAAGGAAGGAAGGAAAGTAGGTAAGGAAAGGAGTGAGAGTTAGGAAAGGAGGAAGAAAGGAAGGAGAGTGAAGAAAGAAGGAGGGAGGGAAGGGAGTTAGGGAAGGAAGGAAGGAAAGTAGGTAAGGAAAGGAGTGAGAGTTAGGAAAGGAGGAAGAAAGGAAGGAGAGTGAAGAAAGAAGGAGGGAGGGAAGGGAGTTAGTTAGGGAAGGAAGGAAGGAAAGTAGGTAAGGAAAGGAGTGAGAGTTAGGAAAGGAGGAAGAAAGGAAGGGGAGTGAAGAAAAAAGGAGGGAGGGAGTTGGAGGGAAGGAAGGAAAGGTGAGAAAAAGAGGAAAGAAGGAGTGAGAGGTAGGAAAGGAGGAAGAAAGGAAGAATGAAGAAAGAAGGAGGGAAGGAAGTTAGGAAAGGAGGGAGGGAAGGAAGGAAAATAGCAATAGCACTTACACTTATATACCACTTCACGGTGCTTTACAGCCCTCTCTAAGCAGTTTATAGAGTCAGCCTCTTTCCCTCAACAATCCTGGTCCTCGTTTTACCAACTTTGGAAGAAGGGAAGGCTGAGTTGACCTTGAGCCTGGCGAGATTTGAACTGCCAAATTGCAGGCAGCCGGCAGTACTGTATTCTAACCACTGCGCCCCCAGGGCTCTTATACCCACCTGCACACACATACATGACACACAGAAACATTCCGGCCTCGTACGGATGTAGACATATACATGGCGAAAAAAGAATTCTACAAGCTTACAAGACGGATGGCATCAGGTCACATGACCGCAACCATCATACATACATGCATACATACATACACACATGCATACATACGTAGGTACGTACGTACCAGTTGCCAAGCATCTGAATTTTGATCCTCTGCACTGTAGTACAATCATAAGTCGCCTTTTTTTTTTGGTGCTGATGTAATTTTGAAGCACCACTGAATGCATGGTTGTAAGTCAAGGACTAGCTGTACAATTCCCTGCCATGAAGGGCTTTGAGGTTTGTTGCTGCTCGGGCGTGAAATTCACAAGTAAAAAAGAGTAACTCATCCTTTTCATTTCTTTTCCTCTGCAGCCGCTTGTTCTTCGGTCATGGATTCAAACATCCCTGCTGAAACATTCCTAACCAATGTGGAAAGTAAGTAGTCTAGACCACGGGTCTAGCTAAGTTTTGCAGATCTCGGCCTAGCAGCTCTTCAAGCCAGATAAGGTCTAAGACTGTAAATCCTCCCAAGCCAGATGAGGTCTGTGACTGTAAATCCTCCCAAGCCAGATGAGGTCTGTGACTGTAAATCCTCCCAAGCCAGATAAGGTCTAAGACTGTAAATCCTCCCAAGACAGATAAGGTCTGTGACTGTAAATCCTCCCAAGCCAGATGAGGTCTGTGACTGTAAATCCTCCCAAGCCAGATGAGGTCTGTGACTGTAAATCCTCCCAAGCCAGATGTGGTGTATGACTGTAAATCCTCCCAAGCCAGATGTGGTGTATGACTGTAAATCCTCCCAAGCCAGATGT